TTACCCATACTTAAAGTCATTCAAAGTAATGATTTTTACAAGTTTTAAAGCCTTGAAGTGGTCAGAACATAAAACTGGTTCCATTCTTCTACTATTACAAATCAAGTGAATATCAAAAGATGCAAATTTCTTTGAATGAAAGTCTTTTTTCACTTCTCTTCTCCGCACTTCTTCCCTTTATTAAATGCGGACTAGCTCCCCAAAGATGCTCAGTCTTGTGTGGTGTCCAAGAGAAAAAAAGGTTCTGGAAAAGAGATATGAGAAACTCCTCCATGAGACTGTGAGATCTTTTAGCAGGCCTAGGGCTGTCACACTGCCCTCGAATACATCGAAACTCAGTGCCATGCTGATCACAGAACCACAGAATGGCCAGGGTTGGAAGTGACCTCAAGGATCATGAATCTCCAACCCCCTGTCACGTGCAGGGCCACCAACCTCTCCATTTCATATTAGACCAGTCTGCCCAGGGTTCCATCCAATCTGGCCTTGAACACCTCCAGGACGGGGCATCCGCAACCTCTCTGGGCAGCCTGTTCCAGCACCTCACCACTCTCACAGTAAAGAACTTCCCCTAAAATCCAACCTAAATCTTCCCTCCCTCAATTTAAAACCATTTCCCTTGTCCTGCTGTGATCTGCCCTTTCAGCCCTTGCTCACTCCACAATCAGCTTTCAAAGTCCCCCAGCACTCATTCTGGGGCTATGAAGGACCAGCGAATAACTAACTTTATTTTTAGTGTAAGGAACACCCATGTGATTATTTGTAAAACAAATACTGGTGCTCCTTTCCAGGAAAACTACTCATTTGACACGTTGTACTCTGCATTGATACTTTATATGAAAGCAGATTTGGAGACCCTTTCCCAAATCTCCAGGTTGCATGGGCTTTGTGCAGCCAGACCTTCCGGAAGGGTTGAAGTTACGATACTTAAGGTCCCTCCCAACCCAAACCGCGCCGTGATTCTTGTGAAGAGGCTGAACTTAACACAAAACCGTGTTATTGTAGCACACTAATCTGGAAAGGCATGCCGCAGAATCCTAACACAGACTCCAAACAGCGCAGAGAGCCGGGCGCAAAGCTCCGCTCCTTCACTCCCGACAGCCCTCGCACATCCCCCACGCCAGCTCCACGTCCGAGGAGCCGCCGCGCGGCGCAGCGGCGCCCCCTGGCGGCGGAGGCGGAAAGCCTGACCACGAGCGGGGGCAGCAGCTCTCAGACCCCGGTGGCGGCGCCCGTTGGCGCGCATGCCGAGATGCCAGGTGCGGCGCTCGCAGCCCTCACCGCACCGAGCTCAAGGCAGAGCTGGCAGCAAGCGGCGAACTCCGCACCTCAGCACCTCCGCGCTCCCTCCCTCCCCCGCCCGCCCGGCCCGCAGCCGGCCCCGCCGCGTCCCGCGCTCCCATTGGCCGGCGGCACATAGGCGGCAGCCAATCGGAAGGCAGTTGTCAAGCGCCGCCGTCTATTTTTAGCTGAGGTAAACAGCCGCGCGTGGAAACGGACAGACAGACGCGCAAACGTGGGGCTGATGGGGGGTGGGAGCGGTGGGCTGTACCGCGCGGCTGAGGCCTGCATTAGCGGAAGGACGCTGAGAGCAGCGTCAGCCCGAGCTGCCGCGCATCGCCCTTGTGGGGAAGGGCGCTCGCGATGCTTCAGTGCTTAGAGAGAGCGCTCACACAAAGCGTTGTGTTAAATTGAGGCGCGATAACGTGTGCGAAGTGTGCAGCGCTCTGGGTTAGAAGGGGAAAGCCTAAATCATGAGGAAAAGAGTTCTTGGAATACTTAAAGAGAGGTTTAAAGCATCAAGTCTGCCTGTACAGGAGGGCTCTGAAAGCACTGCCTCCTGTTCTGTTGCGTTGGCCCATGACAGCAGAGTTTGACGTTAGTGGTATGGCAGTAGAGGTTGAACCTTCCCACCAGTGTTCCATTTCATTTTGCTGCTGTTGTGTCAGAATGGCACCTGACACGGAAATGCATATGCAGCAACAGCGTGTCACTGGATTCCTCCATGCAGAAAAAATGGCACCTGTGGACATTTGGTGGTGTTTACTGAGCGTTTATGGAGACCAAGCAGTGGGTTTGAGCGCAGTGGGAGGCTTTGGGTGGTGTGTTACAGCAGTGGTGACAGTGACAGAGTCAGCTCTGTTAGTGCAGGTTTTCACAAGCACAGCGTGCAGGCTCTTCTTCTTGCATAGCTAATAGTGGTGACTGTGCTGATCAACAGTGTTTTGTAGCTGAGAATTTGCTCTGTCACTTTCTTTGTAGCAAGTTCTCCCCGGCACATCTTGCACTATCAGAGCAGAAATTTGCCAGCTGCTCCCCACAGTATCAGCCCTTTGGTGGTGGTCAGCGTTGGGCCATTCTGAAATCCCTGTCCTTGTGGTTCCGTGGATGCATTCAGCTCTCATAGGATATACAGCCAACAGCAAAACAAAGGAACAAAGTCTACTCTGGCAGCATTTGGATGTAATTTCAAAAAAAGTGGCCCATGGATTTAAAACCAGCCCAGAAAAAAATTGTTTATTCTGTCATTGTCGGAACATTCGTGTAGTCAGAAACATTATTTCAGTGAAGCTTTTACATGCCATTGAACGTTTTCTCTGTGTTCACGGGTTGTCAGTCTTCTCTGCAGATTAAACTAAGTTCTCACAGAGGAAGTGCACGCAGCGTGAATTCCGTTAGCTTTGCTGATCCCATTATGCACCATAATGCAAGAGCGAAGATTGCTCTGCATAAATATTCATCTAGCATCTTTCAAGTTTTCACTTTTCATTCTGCTGCTGCCTGACCCTGTCTGCCACTTTTCTCTGAATAATCAGCACTGCTGAGCAATCCATTTGGGGGAAAAGACGTTTGCAAGACTAAAATATCGGAGCTGGACGCCTGTGGATTGTCACCAGGACAAGATGCAGCATATTGCTGCAGACATTACAATGATCCAGTGTACTCTTTGAAGTTGCTCTGCGTGTTCCTTTATACTGTGGCTTCTTCTGGACAGACCAAACACGGGGGCAGCAGGACCTCAATTTTTGCTGTGATCACTCAGAATCAACATTACAAATTTTAATTCCTTTAGATTTTGAGTTATATCAGTGACTGAATGCAGTTTCTATTTATCTACAAGTCAGGGGCTGTGCTTGTGCTCTGGGGTAGGCTGGAGATGATGAAATTAAAGTAAACAGTGGGGTTTTGTGGAGGTGGAGAGTGAGGCTCAAGGGCTCCTTTGATACCGAGTGGATTAAAAAGGCTGCAGACTAGAGGATTTAGCCCAAACATGATAAAATTCACCACAATTCTCCTGAGTCCTCAGCAGGTCCCAACATAGGAGTGTCCGTTCCCCACATTGTTTGTTTAGCCAGTAAGGAGGTGGTTGTTGTGTTCTGTTGGTAGCCCTGATGTGCAAGGATTGGCTGTTCTTGGGAAAGAACAGATCTCAGGGCCTCAAGTCTGTGCTTTATGTCTTTTGACTGAGGAGCGAAGCTAAGGAGCCTGGGGAGCCTGTGCATGGCTCTGAGGTGAGCTGGTAAAAGGAGATGCTTTTCTTTTTAAACCAGCCTGCTTTTGCCAGGTATTGTCATAACAGCTTTTTCTCTCTCTTTTTTTTTTTTTTTTCATCCAGTCAGAGTTCTCCTTAGACACCATTTGCATAATTTTCCCTGCTTATCAGCTTGACATCTTAATTGCAGAAATAGCACCAAAAGGGAAAAGCTGCTAAATAGCAGGTGCCAACACCACAGCAGGTAAAAAAACGAGTAATATTGTTGCTCAGGGAAGACCAAAGTGGTGAAAACACACTCCCCTCAAAATCAGGTGGAAACCAGACACATTCTCATGCTGAGTGAAATACCTTTCCGATTAGACTTCTCTCATCCAATCCTGCAGCCAAAAAAAAAACCCACAAAAACACAGGAGGGTGAAAACGTTGGTGGGGAGTTGGTGGCCATGATGATGTGCAGCGGGGGCTGCCCGGCCCTGGTCCTGTGTGCTGTGTCTGCCCTGAGGATTCAGAGTAGTGTGGCAGGTGCTTTCTAGCTGAAGCTTGGGTGGTTTTTCTCTTTGTCAGTAGCTGAGTTTGTGATGCTACCCCAGTCTGGCTTGGGGGAGGTTAGAACAGCAATTGTGTTCCCATTAGCGACGGCGTAAATCCTATTTTAAATGTGAACTTCATATCCACAAGCCTTAAAGTCAGTCTTGCCTGTGTGTTTTATGATGACCGATGTTAACGTTGATGCTTCTCTGTGCCCTATGCCTTTTCCTAAAGTTATCATTTGAAAGAAGCTCATTCTTCTAATTAAGATCGAGTCCATTACATAGTAGACTCATCATGTCAGAATGCGTACATCACTCTGGCTTATGTGTGGTGTGGTTGATCGGCTACGTGGGAGAAGGATTTTGAACAGGCTTTCCGGATGCTCTGGGGCTTGAGCCCTCTGAGCAGCAGATCACAGATGCTTTCTGTCACATATTAATAGCTGGCTCAGAATGAGGGCTGTAATGCCAGAGCTGCCACAAATGCAGAAAATGTTTCACCTTCAGGACATAGAATGCATAACTTAATGTACTGTTGAATGTTCTGGAAGTGGTTTTCCTTCTTTTTCTCTAAGCCACTTTTAAGAGGAATTTAAGCTCATAGAAACATTAATGTGTTATAAAATTTTAAACCAATATGACATTTTGGTTTGTTTGTTTGTTTGTTTGTTTCATGGAAGTATAGTAACAAGTTTCACAGCCAAATTGCATTGTTTCAGTTTTCTAAAAAGAAACACCTATTTGGTGTTTATGGTAAAGCAGTAGGAGATGAGTAAACCTGACCTACTGTTGATTACAGCACAGGTTATGCAAGCCTACAATGGTTTGCCTTTAATATGTCAGTGAAGTGAAAGTGGCTTCTCTGATGGAGTCCCTGGTGAAATGAAGTTTCAGGCCATTAAGTCAATAGCTCTTGTCCCAGTCCTGCATTATCACAGCTCGGCAGGAGAACTTGTTAGTGGCTGCAGCCTAGGCCTTGGAAGATAGACAATACTCTGTGTTTTGCAGTTATTTGGTTGTTTGGTTTTTGCAGTTTTTTAGTGTGTGTTTAACAGGGATTTATTATCTGGGCTTTGTTGTGACCAACCTGGGCTTATTTTCATCATTGCCTTGCAGGATGTCTCCTGATGACAGAAGCATTGATAAGCATTTAACAAAAGAAAACGTGGATCTCTGGGGGCATTCAGACAGTTTGGTACTAAAAATGGAGCAGTAGAGAGGGAAGGTGGTTTCCCCTCTTCCGTGCCACGCTTGAACCTGTAAACTAATTATTTGATGGGGGAAACACATCTCCTGGAGAAATCTAAAGATCCGTATTCGGTCCATATCCCTGATACACAGCCAACAGGTTTGGCCACAGCATTTAACTGTCCTTATTTGTGAGTGTGTGATAGTGTGCTCTATGTTACAAACTGGGAGTGGCATTTGGGTCTGGTCCTGTTTTTGGTGGATTTGAGAAATTTTTCTCCATAACACGTTGCACATGAATCTGCTGAGTTCCCACTCTATCCTACTTTGCTTAGGGCATGCAGAAGCAGATTCTTCTTTGAATGTCTGATCATATTCCTTTCTTGCCAGTATTTCTTTTAAGCAGCAAATAGCTAACCTACCTTGCATCTCTACCTTCCTTATTGCTTTAATGCATCTTTTTGCGAACTGAAGAGGAGGGTAATCAGACCTCTGGGCGTATGCTTCCTTAATTTGCAGTTGACTTTAGGCAGAAGCAGGGCACACGGTCTCACGTGGGTTGTGATATATCATGCTACACCATATGGGAGAGGCAGCTGTACAGCAAGGTAACAAATGAGCTGCAGACAAAATCCATCCGTATTGCCCGTGGTGCTGTGGGTCTGGCAAGCTCCTGTCCTCCCCCTGCCCATGAAACATCAGCTTTTAGTCACTGCCAGGAGCACTGTCATTGGGCTTGTTTGTCATTTTTGCTGCTGTTCCAGGTCAGTAGATCCCATGTACTCCCAGCGCTCTGATAAATACATGCTTTCCCAGAGTTCTAGAAGTCTCCTTGTTTTTCCTTCAAGATTACCATAATCAAGTGAACGAGTATTGAAACTTCATACTGATACAGTTTCTTTCCTTAACTGGTCACTTTTAAAGCTTGCTTTGGCTTCCACACTTGCTTGAGGTAGGATTATGCATTATGTATTCCATGGAAACCAATTAGTCCAGACCCTGCTGTGTTGCTTTGTAGATGCTTAGTCCCAAACTGAAACAATTATGTAATTACAGTCGTCTTTTTTCTGTGTCTTTCAGTGGTTTTTACTGTGAAGTGACTCTTACTTGTGAGAAGGAAGCAGTCTATTTTAAGAATAATGATTACACTAAGAGTAGGAGAAATGCAATTGCAAATAATGTCCAAAAAGTCAAATATATCTTGGTATCGCGTGGTACTTGAAGACATTTGCACAGCTCCATTAATGACTGGACAACTAATAACTGTATCTGTTACTGTAAGAGAAGACACGGTGGAATTCTCCCTGGACATCATTCATCTATGAATCCAGGTGACCTTTAAAGATGGTTTTGAAGAAACGGCTATTCAGACTTCATTTCATTTTCCCTCATTATCCCTAGTACTGTCTTGCCTTGCTATAGAATGTAAGCCATGGAAAAGATTGCCTTTGTGCCCTTTGGACTTCTAGCCAGAAAGGTCTCTTCCTTGATTTAGCAAACCTTAGAGGGTCCCTAATTTATTGTAGCCATGTGAGGCGTGCAGCCAGAGAAGCTGTGGGTGCCTCATCCCCGGAGGTGTTCAGGGCCAGAACTGGATGGGGCCCTGGGCAGCCTGAGCTGATGGGAGGTGTCCCTGCCTGTAGCAAAGGGGTTGGAACTGGATAGTCTTTAAGGTCTTTGCCAACTCAAACCATTCTGTGATTCTGAGGGCATTACTGGAGCTCACAGATCTCTTTATCATGGCATGTGATATGAAGAATGGTATATAAAAACAAAAGGAAAAGAAATGAAGCTGAAAGCAGTCAAATGAACAACACACCTCCCACCTCGGCAAACATGACTTTGAGGTGTAAAAGGATTTACCAAGTCCATTTATTTGTGTAGACGTACATACTGGTAAGACAGCATTTGAGTCTTTAACTACGCTTCCTCTATTATTTGGAAAATACTCTTTATTCCACACTGACAGTATCTCTCACATATGTCAGGTATGATTTTCATAAATTCATCCTAATCACAGTTTTTAGAAGTGCATGAGGGAGGAAGAAGTCAGTATGTTGTTAAACAGCAGAGTCAGAAATTCATGAAGTAAATGATCACCTTAAGCTGCTGCTTTGAAGTCTCACTGCAGTTTTCCACCTCGTTTCCTACTGATGGAAAACTTGCCAAAAGTACTCCCGGCAGAGAGAAAAATTATTTGGCCTGCTGAAATCCACACACTTGGAGATTATCTGCAGATCAAAGCAAAGAGTCAAACTGTGTGCCATAGACATTTTACGTAGAACTTGTATATTTATATATCACTGCCTGTGTATCTCTAGCTAATTAATGCATGCGTTACTTATGTCGGTAGCTCTAAGCGGAATGTGGAAAGATGTGCCAGTGAAGTCTATAATATGAAAAGCACATTTCAGATGATTGCTTTAGACTTGAAATGTTTGGGACCTGTTTTAGTTTTCTTCCTTCTGAAAACTTCTGTTGATTCTGAAGTACATCTGTCAGCTTTGTTGTAGTTGTTACAGGGTTTATAATGCCAAGAGTGTGTTGTGTTTTATTTGGCTATACAAGAGCATCTGGATGGTTTACCTCTCATTATGTCATGGTTATTTGGAAAGGGTACATTGCCCAGAACCAACAACCAAAACTGAGTTTTTTATTAACACGATTATTTGAAGTGATAACAGCCCATTAAAGTTTATGCTTCATTAATGTCCTGTGGAAGGAGGATGTTGGTAGAAATTGACCTTTCATACAGATGTGTTTGTAGTTTCTTCCACTTCTACTCCACTGCGGTCAGTGGCCTCATCACTAGTGGGAGTCCAGGGCGGGAGTGTGGGGACCAGTGTGGAGAAGGCACAGATGTTCCCTTCCATCTGACCAGACCCCACATGACAAAACATATACTTACAGATATGCTCTTAAATTGAACTTGAAAACAGTGTTAAACAGTGGAACACTGAACAGCATCCACCAGGCTTGTAAAGATTGGAACTGGGTACCGGGGGAAGCTTCTCTGGCCACCCGGCAAGCTGCCTGTTGCACTGTGGTGCTTGTCTTCTGCCAGGCATGACACTGCTCAGCCCTTGAGGGCTATTTTGCAAAAGGCTGTTTGATGGAGCCAAGCATCCCATTCAGCTCTGGGAACAACTTCAGCAGAGTGTGCCATAGGGATCCACATGTACACCTGCTATGGCATTGTCTTTGCTTACCCTAAACACAGTGTTTCTCCAGACCCTCACCCCTGGCTGGGCGTTGAGAGACATAAAAGGAGACAGAAATAGAACAGTTTGGAACATTTCAACAACAACAACAAAAAGTAACCCTACTCAAGGTGAAAATCTCAAGGCAGTGCAGTGTGAAACAATCACACACCTCTAATAAATCTGAAAAACTAGAAACACTGCATGCTTCCTGCTCTGTATAGTCAGTATAGTCGGTCCTGAGTTTCTGCTCATTATTCACTATTTGATTGGGTTTGGATTCTGTTGGAATTTGTTGTTGTTGTTGTTCTGTTGTTTTTGTGTTTTTTTTTTTTTTTTAATTGCATTTCTTTTCTCAGAGCAGTGCCATTTTGTCTTATTTCAATTTCAGTTCCTGCACCTATTTGCTATGCAGTCAGCTAAAAATACAGCTAAAAATAAGCTGCTTTTTCTCTTGGATGTGTTACATGAATTCAGTCTCTAGCTGTTACACAGTACTTACCCAGTGATGCTGAGCTGATTTCACTCGTATCTTGTGTAACTTTGATGAAACCAACTGAGACAAAACATGCTGATTGCTTTTTCCAACAAGTATTTGTGTCAGATCTTTTCCCCAGTCTCTCCCCAGCTTGCTGCCCAAAAAAACCATATTTTAAAAGCACAACAGGCCCTCAGTCCTTTTTGATATGGTTACTGTCGTTGCATGTAAGAGAAATTTCATTTTCATCCCTGGAAACTTTTTGGCTATCAATGATATTTAAGCCAGTCCTGTTTGAGCTGCCACATGTTATTGTTCCAACAGCTTGGGCTGTCCTCCCACAGCTTTGTTTGCCTGTCGGATTCTTCTGCCATATTTCTGTGTTGCTGCTGTGTTGTTCTTATCCCTGGCCTGTGCATTTCTGTGTAGAAAGTATCAGGTGAGGGTCCCTGGCATGTTCTATACATTCTGCTGAGCATAGTGGCCTTCCCATTTTGTTCAGACACTTCTGTTACAATAAGAATGAAAACAAAACAAAACAAAACAAAACGGAGTCAATAAAATACAGGTGCTACTATGTAGATCTAAAAGTTGCATCCTTAAAATCCTTGCTTAGCTGCTGCCTGGATCCATGTGCTTTTTTATCTCCACTATTGATAGGCACTCATGGAGAACACTAACAAAAGGTGTTGCCTAGTGAAAAGCCCAGGGCTTGCTGCCAGCTCCATAGGCTCAGCTGCGAGAGGGCTCATTCGGGTGTGGGGTCCAAATTTTGTTGAATCCTTGGCTTGCAGGAATAGAATTCATTCAGCTCCAGACCATCTGTTGAAATTTTCCATGTGGCAATAATTAAGTAATTATTAGGGCAGAGAAAGCATGTCTCTGTGGCCTGGGGACATGGATGGGGTGACTTCTGCCGAAGCTCCATTGAATACTGCACATAAAGCACTCAGACACTTGTGGGAGCAGAGGCAGCAGTTCTGTCTCTCATCTGTAACTCAGAATATCCCTTTGGCTAGAGCATCCATCTGCCACCATTGAGATGGACCTTTAGATCTCTGCAGGCACCAGAGAGTGGTACGCCCTAGGTTCCTCCTGCTGAAGGAGAGCCAGGCAGGGAATAGCTGTGCGAGCAAAAGAGGCATGCTCATTCATCCTTTTGGCTTTTTGTGCAGGGCAGAGATCATGATTATCTCAAGACTGGCACCTCCTGTCTATCCCAGACAGCACCATCTTGCATAGAAGTTTGGATAATGCACCTGAACAGTGAAGACTTGACCTCTGTCAGCCCATGAATGTTTCATTTTGCTTTTGTTCACAGATGCCTAAATCATTACCCTAAGTTCAGACTGAAAAAGGGTCCAGGGGTTAACAGGCTCATATGTTTCTTCTAATGACATCAGCTAATAAAAGATGCTACTTTCTCTCTGAACCCTCCTCACTATTGGTGTGCTACCTGTCTGAATCCGGGCTAGGGATACCACCAAAGAATTTGGAAACTGACCTGAATTTATTGATTAGGATCATCATATTCTTAACAGAATGCCGGTGGCAGACAAAAACGGTGTATGGAACTGCAAAGTACTGTTTTTGTTCCTGGAAGTTTGATTTTACAGACCTTCTTAAAATTAATTTTTGTTAATCCTGTATCACAATGTAACATGACTCCAAAAGATACCTTAATAAAGCCAGTGCAGTCCACATTATTACCAAGTAAATGTACAAACTGTCAAATCTTCATGAATTAATTAACTTCTCATTTTATTGAGGATGGTGTCAATCCACTTGTCATAGGAACTCTTATCCTGAAATTATAGAACTAGGGACATAAGTAGAAATGTTCCCAGTTCTATAATTTGGAAATAGAATGAACAAGTATACCTCAGTATTTTTATTTTAGGCCTAAGTGTCATTTTTGAAAATTACTTAATGCTGAGGAATCTGCCTCCCCTATGTGATACTTGCTCTGCTTTTTCTGGATCATCACAAGTAGAACACTACCGAACACAGCCTGACAGGTGGCTGGAAGACTCCTTCAGAATAGACAAGACCCAACATGTATGGCAGTTGTCTATGCTGTTTGTCAAATAATCATAAATGCCTCTACAGCCTTTGGGATACTGTGAGTTACCCTTGGGTTTACACAGTGCTGGATGGCAGGCAGGTCAGGCAAAGTTTTATGCCTACTTCTGTTCTCAAAATTAAATGTTGAACAGATATAGGTAATGAGTTTCAGAGTGTTCACTAATTGTATCTTGGCTTTCAAGTGCCTCCAGTACTAGCAGTTTTGTGAGTGTGGAAAGGAAAAAATTTCCTTCTGTAATACTACAGCATATATTGCTTGGAATACTTAATTTAAGTGATTTGGGCTGACAAAAAAATCTTGCTTGAACATCCTCCCTGGGGAAGCTGCTGAATTCAAGGAGAAACCTTGTTACTATAAGCAAAAACTGTTTTCAGAATATTCTTCTAGCCTTCTGTAGTTTACTGTTTCTCTTTCCCAGTTTTGAATTCCAGTGTATGGAGAAATTTAAATGATTTATTAAAAGATGCAATCTGGGATGCAGTGTGAGAAATCATACAGTCACAATTTGTTCTTAGTTTTAAGAGGCATGTGTCTCCAAGAGACCTTTCTTCACTGAAGGTTTAGTTGTCCTTTTGTATAGATAATTTCATAGACCACTTGATGTCACCCTTGTGCTCCCCTAAAACAAACACACAGCAGTAAAAGAAAAAGAATGTAGTTTTAAAGTTCTGGATGTGCTATGAGAAGATAAATGATAGGTTATTACCAGAATATGGATATTCTAGGATAGTTTATATCCAACATGTGAAAAAGTCTGCTATTAAGAGTTTATATTACATTTTAGATAAAGAAATCTTTGAACCCAAAACTACTGTTTATTCATTTACTTCTACAGTCCTTGCAAAAGTGACACTGTAAAGTTGGAGCCCACAGAACCTACTCAAAGTCAAATAAAATTTGCAATTCAGCTCAGAGTCGCCATCTGCTGACTTTATCTTTTATTATGTTTGTATTTTGTGTAAGTTATGCTTGAGTTACTGTTAGGTGAAAGGAAATGAATAGCTTCTATGCTCGTTTTAAGTCAAGATACATCAATCTTCTTATCATAGCCACTCAGTTCAAATACTGTCTAATAGAAATAAACTGTATGTTCACATTTCTTTTAAGCAACTTCTGCAGTAGCATCCTTATCAAATGATTTTGCTCTTGTCAATCTTCTGTGCCTTTGGTCATCACTGACTGCTGTTTCATAACTGACAAGAGAAGTCCCATACAACTCAGGAGTGTATGCTATGAGTTCATTACTACGAACTCCCTGCATAAGCTGCCTGGAGGAAGAGAGAAGAAGGGGATGCATAGCTTTTGTGGATTGTCCTAGTTCCATCAGAGATGAACAGATGAAAATGTAAGCTAAGAGTTTGGCCCAGGAAGTTTAAATAAACACGTTTAAATTTGCCTCTCTGAAACATCTGCAAGTTGTTGGCAGGTTGAAGATATACAAGAAGGTACGGTCCTTTCAGGTTTCTAAGAATGACTGCAAACATGGATGGGCTTTCAAGAAGGTTTTCCCTGTTCTTTACTCATAAGTTATCCTGCAAAAATATTATAGTCCTCTTGAGATACCTGTAATTTGATTAATCACTAGCAGCAAGACAGAAATGAAAGACCAGAGAAGAAAATCCATGAAACATTGCAGTTACCTTTGCTTGAGAGACACTAGAAGAGAAGAGAACAAGTTATGAAAGTGGCACTCCGGTAATGTTATTTTTTGTGGTCATTTCTTTGCATGAACTTAAGTGTCTTTTACAAAGGAACAAAAGCAGAGGTAGTTGAAAATGGAAACTACTTTGTGAATATTTTTTAATCAAAACTCTGATTTTTCAGAAAAGGCAAAAAAAGGAAGAACAATCTGATAACACTGATTATCCATCGTCACACATGATGGATACACACAGAGTGAGATAATGAATTGGAAATAGCATTTTGCATTCAATTTTACAGTACCTAGTGTAGTGAGCAATCTGTACTGTCAGGGTTATGTAACTCTTAAAATTAGTATACTATACTTATTCCAGGGACCCAAAGTGAGGCAGTGTAAAACAGGTAAGTCAGAAGATGATAAAAAGACAAAATATTCTATACAAATTTGAAAAGAAAATGTATCTGCTGTGCCTTCTCCTGAGGTAGGAAGGAGGTGATAATGACGATGATGTAGATTTTGGAAAAGAAAAAAAAAGGACTCTAAACCAAAGCTCAGTGATTCTAGACAGAGGTAAGGCACAGTCCAAAAGCAACAACATTAAAGGCTGTCATGATCCTGAAAAATGATGAGAAAGAGGCATTAGAGAAATCTCATTAAGCTGGTGTGTTACTAGTAATGACAAAAAAAAAAATTACCAAATTCTTTTTTTTCCCCTAAATTTCTTCCATTAAATATATTTTTCACATTAAAATGAAATCTTATCAATCATGTAAGTCATATCTCTTTCCCTTGTATCTCCTAAGTTTCAATATAATACTTTTTATTTTCAGGATTACAGCCGCTTGCAAATACTGAATTCTTCCTTCACCCACTAGATGGTACTACAGCTTTAAATCTACCATTCAAGGCTGAAATTACAGAATTACTTTGTTCTTTTCAGCTCAGGTCACTGTTATCAAAGGCTGCATTACATTTTTCATATGCTCCAGCACAAATTAATTTCAACTAGTTTCACACCAGTTTCTGTAGGAACATCTATGCATAACCAGAGATACTGGGGCCAGACCTTATAATGAGAAAGAGATATTTCTATCGAATAGAAGTGTTTGCAAGCAGATCCTATAGTTATTAACCTCATATAGTGAATCACAGTTAAAAGATATTCAACCTTATTGGCTGCAAACTACTTCTTCCTCAAAATTCAGCTATAAACCACAAATGATTGAGAGGTCTTAACCTTTCTACAAGTGGGAAAGCATTCTCATTGCAAATGGAATTCAGTAGCCCTTTTGGTATATCTGCTATTTTGTGGCCAGAAATTTCAAATAATTAAAATTGAATGTGAGCACATGATCACGTTTGAGTGATAATATGAACAATGAAAATCTGGTTTTTATCTTGGTCTTAAACACTGTCTACTTTACCAGCCATTGTCATGCCTATAAACTGTATGTCCATTTCTGCAGATATTTTTTAGCAGAAAAGAGGGCCAGAGTTGCTCTCTAGAGTAGAAAGACTAAATCATCATTACTAAACCTTTCCCTCTGTTCTTGGTTAGAGAAAAGTTATTCATCAAACGAGTGAAAGCTGCTTCCATAAATCTTCATCGAAGTGCATGAATTTCAAGTCACGGAACTGAAGGGGTTTAAGGAGCAATGGGAAATAATGGAATAGTAAAACTAAGTCACCCTGAATCATCACTGCCTTGGGAAATGAAAAATATGTGCTATCTGTAAGAGTAAGAATAATCCATGGGGTATGAACAGCTGCATGATCCTGCATATATGATGCAATAGGAAATATCATAAACATATGCAATCTGTGCAAAGGCTTTGTTTGTGTACTGTACTCTATAGAGTTCTTGTTGCAAGGTACTGTGAAAAAATGATGTCAGTGAATCAAAAAATTAACAGTTTATTAAAACAGTAAGAAGAAAAAGGAAGATGCCAGAAATATATGTCTCAGTAGGATTCATATTCTGTTGCATTAGAAAGGAAGTAAAGGAGTCAAGAAGTGAAGGCCACGTCATCCAGAATATTCAGCCTGTAGTGCTTCAGTCCTTCCAACAATTCATGGTGTTAATCCATATTTAAGGAGTCGACCATTTCTTCTACGAAGAAAGACTGATGGAACTGGGCCTGTTCAACCTGGAGGAGAGAAGGCTTTGGGGAGACCTCATTGCAACCTTTCAGTACTTAAAGGGAGCTCATAAACAAAATGAGTATCCAACTTTCTACACAGCACAACGATAAAACAAGGGGAAACAGCTTTAAACTTAAAAAATAGGAGATTTAGATTATACGTTAGCAGGAAATTCTGTACTCAGAGGGTGATGAGGCACAGGCACAGGCTGCCCAGAGAAACTGTGGGTGCCCAATACATGGAGCTGCTCAAGGCCAGGTTGGATGGGCAGTCTGATCTGGTGGGTGGCAGGGGTTTGGAAATGTAGGTAAGTTGCTTTCAACTCAAACCATTCTATAATTCTACTGTTTTCACGTGAAACAAATTCATTGGCTTTGGAAAAAGTTGCAGTGGGTGAACACCTTAAATGTTGATACATTTTATCTGGATATCAATATCACCTGTTCTTCCTGAATGTAAATCCATGACATAACTGCATCTAGATGCTTGACCTCAGCAGACATAGCATTTGCTTGATCCCTTGCTTTCCTCCTCCCTGTTCTGTGCTCTCCATGTCAAATTACATTTCTTACGGTTTATTTTGTCTAGCTTTACCACTGAGTAACAGTTGCATTTGACCTGGTTTGATGAGAAAAAGAGCAGTGACTTGTGCACAGAAGCTGAAACAAATTGCATGGCATAGGTAAAAACTTAACGCTCTTTCAATCAATAGAAGACACAATCCATAAACTAAAAAGGAAATACAGAACTACAAGAGCTCTTGAATCCAGATAATATATTTTTAAATTCAATTTCTGGTTGTTAGAGTCTGTTAACAATGTCTGTTAACAATGTCTGTTAACTGAGCTGAAGTTGAAAATCACCCTTTTGAGGTGTGGCAGACGCCGTATGTATGACAATCAAAATAATTTTCCAGGAATGTTTTAAGCTTACACATAGAGGCTAATTTTCTGTGTTTGAAGTATTCTCTAAAGGGCTTATTTTCTATATTGACTGTGGTTTGTTTGTATTCTGTAAAGTGACGTTGCTGGAAAGGAGGAAGAAAACCATTCCAAGGGGAATTTCCTACTAGATCAGTCATGCTGACCTGGGTTTTCTTACTCAAGAATTTTACAGATATTTGTCTTACACAGTAGTCATACCTTTTGCAGCCATAAAGTAATTCTTAGAAATCACTCTGTTGAACACAAGATAGAAATTAAGTCTAAATTTACAATCGCTGAAATGTTGTCTCTAGAACAGAAACAAGTGAACAAAAACCATCTGAAATAAAATTCTTTAAAGAATCACAAGCTGGAAACTTGGACTTGATTGCGTATGCTGTTAACAGATGAGAAAAAGTAAGAGTTCACTCCTGGGAAGTTAATTCTGTTTTGAAGAGACACCAAAACCACCTTAAGAAAATACACACATTGTTATTAGTTTTCCATCTGCCTATATCAAATATGTTCAATTCATCATGTGCCTTTAACACAATAAGATTTCATAGAATCATAGAATCATAGAATCACCAAGGTTGGAAAAGACCTAAAAGATCACCCAGTCCAACCGTTCACCTATTCCCAATAGCTCCTACTAAACCATGTCCCTCAACACAACATCCAGTCTTTCTTTGAACACCCCCAGGCTCGGTGACTCCACCACCTCCCTGGGCAGTCCGTTCCAGTGCCTGACCACCCTTTCTGAAAAGTAATACTTCCTCATGTCCAGCCTGAATCTCCCCTGCCGTAGCTTGAAGCCATTCCCCCTGGTCCTATCACTAATGACACGAGAGAAGAGGCCGACCCCCAGCTCACTACAACCTCCCTTCAGGAAGTTATAGAGAGCAATGAGGTCTCCCCTGAGCCTCCTCTTCTCCAGGCTGAACATTCCCAGCTCCTTCAGCCTCTCCTCATATGGCCTGTGTTCCAGACCCCTCACCAGCTTTGTTGCCCTCCTTTGAACATGTTCCA